GCGTTTTTCTCCCCCTCAGCCGCCGGCATCGCACCTCCAAGCCGAGCGGGGACCATGAACTCATGGACGCGAGACGAGAGCGAGGTCAGACGGGGAGAAAAAGCACGAATGAGTAGATATTTAGGTGCAGCATAATTTGATACAGGGAGGAGCAGCGCGGGCGGGAATGATTTAGGGTTCAAAGTGGCGAGCGGAGGCCGGCGGTGTGCCTTTCAAAGGCGGCGCGTGGCGAAGGATGTGAGAGATTCGTTAATTCAGCAGAGTAAAAACGCCGCCTTGATGTTTACTAGAGTTACACAGGCAGCAGCTGGGAGAGCGCACGCACATGCACACACACACACACACACACACGCCATGCTAAAGGCGTCCATGCACAAGTGAAAAATGTGGAGACATTTGAAGGCATTAAAACCACCTTTCATGTGAATTATCCTTGTTGGCTCCGTCGTCAGTAACACAGAAACCAGGTTACACGAGCGCCTGCTCAGGAAAGATGCAACGTGAACCCGCGAGAAAACATACTTGATGCACAAACCTCACAGGCAGGTAGAATATGGGCCCATTGGGATGTTGAGTAACCGTCCTGACTGAAGACGCCTCTGCTTCCTGTCGCGGGGGGAGGAGGCCGCGCTTTGCCGACGGCGACATCGTCTATTTTTGGGATGTGATGATCAATTCATAAGCAAGGGGGGCGGTTTGGGGTCGGAGCAGATTGCTAAATATATCTGAGCGCTCACCTCGGGACAAAAGTCAGTCGGCCGGGACAAACGGCGCGTTTTACACCCCAGAGGAGCCTCGGAATGCCGTCGACACAACGCTGAGCTCTGCTCAGGTTCCACGTGTCCACACCATCAAGGATCAGGTTGAGTTGAGAGTTCAATCCCATATGTTGGAAGAAACAGACATTGACTTTGTCTTAATTCGTCTTCGTTCTGTGAGTCAGAAACAATGTGAAGCTGACAAAAACACGTTTGTTTTGGGCGTAAACAGGTTTATTGTTTTATTTTTTCCATCAAACGTTGATCTTTTGTTGTGGTGAACCCCCGCCATCTTCATGTAGCACCACGATTATTCAATACGGGTCTGTGATTTGTGAGTTTCCCTACGTGTGCTGTATGTTGTCACACACACACACACACACACACACAGTGACATTCCCCCTGTGAGTCCTCTAATAATCCCACTGAATCATTTCTGCCCTTGACTGGATGTCCTCTGTCCTGGCGACACGCACTGCACACACATGGACTAATGCAGGAACACACACGCGTGCACATGGAAAGGGAGGAGGAAATAAGTCTTTTATTCTTTGCCTTGAAAAATCAAACAAATTCATCCAGGAGCTTTTGTTGTGCAACACTTTATACACACAGACACACACACAGAAAACTTGATCCCTAACTGTATGTTTTGAGGACTCATAAACCCACCAGCGTGTGGCGTTTACGAGTGTGTGGAACCACTTGTGTGTTATTTCATCGCTGTGTTGATATGTGACGCTCTGACGCGTTCGGCGGCCTCGTGTGTCTCCTCGCTGCTGCTTTTCTCGAGCAAACTGCGGTAGGAGAAGCCAGTCTTGCTTCGCCGTGGGACACGAAGCAGCCGGGATTCAAACCGCCAACCGGTTCCCGGCGCGGCCTCTCTACTCCGTGCGCCACCGTCCTTTTGTAGATGGGGAGGGATCCTCCGCTCTACCAGTGCACCACTGTTTTTAGAGGTTGCTCCGCTCTGCAGAGACGTGGAAAAGGACGCTGAGCCGGGCGAAGAGGATCCACAGAGGCTTCAGACCGTTACCTGGAAGCGTTGGCTCATCGAGGGAACGTTTTCTGTTCTCACTTAGAAGACTTACTTACTTCCTGACCTTCATCCCGAGCCAGCGGCGCCCTCCATTTACATCGCTGAGGAGGGGAACACAAGAGCTCCAGATGTTTGTGGCTGAGATCGTCTTCATATTTACTGCTCGTGCCATAAAACGCGTGTTTCACAATGTCATCATTTTGTGGAACAAAGCGATTCATACAGCAAAGGTGAAAACGATGGACACGTGGAAGACGTAACGAGTCGGGACGGCTCAGGCATGCTGGGGGGGGGGAATCGTTTCTCATACAGTCACCATCCTCCCTCCTGCAGCCACACACACACACGCACACACACACACACACACGCACACACACACACACTAACGCACACACACCGGTGGCTGTAATTAGGCCGTTGGGCACGAGATCAAACTGAAGCGCGGGGCTCTGCTCAGAGTCAAACACACACATTTTCCTGCACCTTCACTCCGTCCTCGCCGGCACACAAATGTTTTTGTTTAGTCTGCAACGCAGACCGAGCGCTGTCTGACTTCACTGTTGACTTCTGCAGCGAGGGAACACAGAAGGCGCAGAGCAAAGGATTGTGGGTCGGATGAGACGGAGGTGTTCAGCGTGAGGATATCCTGGGTGGGTTTTTTTTTCGCTGCAGCGGTGAGCAGAACCGCGGCGAGGTTACGAAAGCAGCAGCGAGCTCGTCTTACTGATGAGCGGACACGTTTCCCCGCACGCCGCCGTGGAACAATGGAAGCATTTAAGCACGAAGCGCGGGCCGTTCCTTTAGGAAATTAGTCACCGTTTAACCATGTGGTTGGAAGAGAGACGCAGTCATGTCGTTTATTTTACTACCAGAGTAAATTGGGCCGAGACCTTGATGTCCACAGACGAGCTCACTGCATTCTTTGGAGCGTCTCATCTCTTCTTATATTCCACGTGGCTTTAGTCCTTCACCTGGAACCCGAAGGGGGGTCGGAAAGCAGCGATCACATCCTGTGAGTTGAAGACGCGTGAGGAGCCCAAGATGGAGACGTTGTGTCTGTCTGGTCCGTCCGTACCTACGAACCTCCCGTCACTCTGGTCGCCATCCAAAGTGGTCGTTTTTAGCATTACGGCTAAGCTGCATCGTGCCAGGAGCTCTTGGTGCTTCTTCTGCGATCCTGCTTCAGCTGTCAGGCCTCCGGACGAAGCTTCGCAGTGTCTCTCTCGTGTCGCAAACGAATGAGATTGTGACTAAAACATTGCAGGTTTTATTCCACTTTTAAAAGGAGTGTTTCAGACCACTGCAGGTCGCCCTGAGCTCAGCGCTGTTAGCGCTCTCAGCTCGGATATGTAGAAAGCGTGTGAGTTCAATACGTCGCACAGAGCTCAGAAATGCAGCTGTATCTTCCTCTGGTTCCGAGCGCACGCCGTTAATCCGTCAGGAGGAGCTGCTGACTTCAGTGTTCGGTTGTCTGTTCTGCGGTTACAGTCAGTAAATCTTTCTGCAGCTTTCTCCGTCTCTTCGTCTTTGACCTCCTCTTTAAAGTCACTTCCCGTCTGGTCGGCGCTGTTTCTCCGTGGCGGGCCGCTCTGCGCGTGTCTCCCCCACGCTGTCACTGCAGAGTTCTAAAGCTTTCCATCGGGCCGCCGGGCCGGAGACTCAACCGCAGTGACACACACACACGCGTGTGCGGCGGCGGGGCGGCAGTGCACGTGGACGGTTGTGTGTATTAACGCGCATCGTCTTCTCTTGACAACATGACGAGCTTACGCGCAGAAAAAACAGCACACACTAAAATCTCAACACAGTTACACTTTCAACTAATTCATATTTTAATTATCAGTCACTATTTTGACAACGCCGAGATCCAAATGAACCAATATTGTCAAAAGTAAATAATATTGTTAATGAAAGTATCTTTTTTTAATGATTGATTAATCCGTTGATCTGTAAAATACACACAAGGAAATAGAAATAGATAAAGGAGCAGTTTCCTTTTCTTTGTGTTTTTGAGACAATATTGTTCTTATTGTATTGTATTGTTCTTGTACTTTGTGTCGGGTGGTTTCATTCAATTACACACCAAACACAACTCACACACAACATCTGCAGGTTTCACATGATGCACCCGTATGTAAGTCACACCATGTCTTACGTGTGACGTGAACTGAGCTGAAATGAATGTTCCTAAAGTGAGTGGTCTCACCCACATACGAGACCGCTCCACCTCCAGGGAACTAAAGGCTCCCGACAGAAGATCCACGTGGTCCTGTGGTTTCCAGAGTATCCTGATGGAGTTATAATGACAGGGAGGGATTTAGCAAGGGGGGGTTATCACTCCTCAGCAGAGGAGGTCGAAGAAGGGGGTCCAAGTTGATCCATCTGACACCCCGATGCAGCTCATCTGAAGAACTGAACAATGCCTCCTCTCCCCGAGTCACGGTTCACCTGCGTCAATATTATGATGGTGGAACGTCCAGAGGACTAACGCGGTCTACCGGGTGAAGCCTGAGACCTTCAGCGTGGTCGGTCCAGAGGACTAACGCGGTCTACTTGGTGAAGCCTGAGACCTTCAGCGTGGTCGGTCTACTTAGTAAAGCCTGAGACCTTCAGCGTGGTCGGTCCAGAGGACTAACGCGGTCTACTTGGTTTTGGCCCTGATGCAACAAGCATGAACACACAGGCTCTGTCCACATATCCAGTGTCTCTATATTAAAACCTGGAAGGACACGACCCTTTAGGAAAACACTGACCCCCCCCCCGTCCCTCCACACACACACACACACACACACACACACACACACACACTGGGGTGTTGGGACTCATATTTCTGTCTGGCTGCCTTTTCTCTACAGAGCTCAATGTAAATACTAGAAGGGGTTATTCAAACACACTCAGCCACACAGGAGTTCCCCCCACTGAAGGTGTGAGATGTAGCGCGCTGTGGGTTTCACCCCCCCAGATAAAGAGAGAGAACATTGAGAAGAGCAGAAGTGTGAGGAGAGTCAGTGATTTTAAACTGAAAAGTCTTTGTACTGTTCAAAAGCTCCTAGTAAGAGTTTTTTTGGCCCTGATCGGAATCCTTATTGGAAAGCTGCAAAGAACTGGATGTGTATCTACATATATATACATATATATATATATATATATTGATATTGGAAAAACGCTTGCTTTTACTTTTGTGTATGTTTACTTGTGCGTGTGTGTGTGTGTGTGTGTGTGTATTGGCTGCAGTAATCAAAGTATCTGGCCGGACATTAGAAGGTGGAACGAGATCAGTAGAAAACATTTTGTTTATTAAAAACACCTGAAGTGGGGAGGGAATATGTTTTCTACGCCGAGTGTGTTCAGCTTGGACCGATCAGTGAAACAAAAACCCACCACGCACACACACACACACACACACACACACACAACCTGGCACTGGAGCAGAAAGAAGAGGCGCTGCACTGACTCGCCGGGTGTCTCGCGCGCTGACAGTCTCTCAGAGATGTTGTTACCGCTTCACTGCAGAAGACAAACTGCAGCTCTCTGCAGCACAATACTCAGCTGCTGCGCATGTTTTACATTTCTGTTAATGCTTTGATGCCTTGGCTGCACTGGACCCCCTTAGCTCGGACCCCCAATGCCGCCCGGCTTCAAACGCGCTGCCTTTCCTCAGGACGCGGCGTGCATGTGGCGCGAGGGGGAGCGAGGTGAAACGGGAATACCTGCACCTCGAGTTACCCACTTAGTTAAATGCCCCGTGCACACGCACGCACGTGCGCCGACGCAGGAATCCGGGCGGCGCTCTCTCGTGCGCACACACACACGGCCTGCGTGCTATAGATAGAGGACGCGAGCTCGGCCTCGCGTTTGCGCTCAGAAGGCCGTCTTTGGCTCCCAATCGGCCGCGAGGCTCTGAAGACGTTTGGCATCGGAGAGGTCGGGTCGTCCCAACGGCGCCAACATGCCAGATCAAAGTGTTCATTTATATAAATATATATATACACAAACCCTCCGTGTTGCTACAGGGGGTCCCAGGCTGCTTGGTTCCCTCTTCGTCTTTCTTTCCATGACTCCCATCAGGTTCTGGTTGAAGGTTCAGCTTCAAGCCAAGTTATTTTGACAGACCTCTTATTGCTCTGTATCGAGCCGCCTCCCCTTCAAAGGGCCCCTCGCATACGCCGCTTCCATCTTGAAGCGCTCCGTAGCGTGAAGGCTCAGACAGATGTTTGTGTCTTTTTCATAATCCATTTGAGAAGAACATGCTGAGGGAGGGGAACCGACACGCCGGCCTGAGAGGGAATCTGACGCCGTGGAATATGATGCGGGCGCATACAGCAGGGAGGCTTCTGGGCGAAGAATCCGCTCATCGCGTCCTGAGACGTGGTGAATACCTCGTTTGTTTCGGGGGACACCGATCTCTGATTCTGCTTCTTCGGTGGCATAAAAGTCCGCAACGAGTCGTCCAACGTCCGTCACCCGTCCGTCATGGTTGGAGTCTGCTGCGTCGAGCTACTCGCCGTCAGTCGTTTCACTAATGGCGCTTCTTCTCTCTCCGTCCCCAGATGACTCCGGTTTGAGAGGCGGAGCCGGAGCGGCCGCCGTCGACGCCGAACGCGCCCCCGAGCTGGCAGGGAAACTGGGTAAGCGCGCTCCCGACGTCTCTCGCCCCGCCGCTGCATGCGTGTAGACGTGATGTGAGGAGGAGACGGAGGAGACGGAGGAGACGGAGGGATGGAAGGGACACCACACACATTGTTTGCTCATCTAATTGGAGGGCATCCTATTCGTGTGAGGTGGGATCTGTCTTTGCTTCTCTTTATTCCCCTTCTTCCTCCTGCAGAAAGGCGCACGTGCACAAACGTTTTTTCTCCTTCCTTCTTTGCCTCTTTCCGCTCGCCGCTCCCTCGTGGATGCGTCCATTATCGTCCACAGGCTCTGTGCAGGTCAGCTGTCTCAGCAAAGACTCACTTAGCAGAAGTCGAGGCCCGAGGAGGCCCGAGTCTCCCTCACACGCTCCCCCTGCGTCTCTCTGATCAAAGGCGCTCCGCGGGGGGGGGGGGGGGGGGGGGGGGAAGGGTTTTTCCGGGGGGGGGGGGGGCCTAAGAAGGCCCCCAGAAAAAAAGGGAGGGCCTTTTCTCCGCGCTGGCTCGCACCCTCTCGCCCTCTGACCGCGTTTCCCGTTTTCTCCTCGCTTACCTTCACTTTTATGATCGTTTTAACTCCGTCTTCGCCTCGCTCTTCTCAACGTCCTCGCCGCCGACGCAGTTTTCTCGTCTCTTTGTAGCGGTCTGTCAGTCTGCGCCAGCTGACCTGAGGTTGAACTTCTCTCGGCCTCCGTCCATCTGTTTTCTTCTCTTCTGATTCATGTTGGTTCAGCGGAATAAATCAGTTCATTTCAGTTCCCTTTGGCTCGTCTCCCCAATCGCTCCACCCGGTCAAATGAAGCATTAAGCACAGCCGTCTATTCGCCCTCCACCTTCTGTTACCTCCCGTCTGTCCGCCGTCCCGTCCGGTTCCCCGCCGGGCTGACGGGAACTTTACTCCACGTCGTAGCGTGAGGGGAAATCTCCCCCGTCACATAACTCTTACCGAGAGCTGGAATAATAACCGTGTCCAAAGAAACGGGCGCAACGGCAGTAGTTGCAGGGAGATTTATGGCCCCGGTTGATGGCTATCTGCTGGGGCCAGAACATGAGGGAGGTGAAAATCAAGCGCTCCTGGGAATGATTTCCTCTCCTGCCTCGCCGCCGCAGTCATTTTGATTCCACTTTTAATGTCTCTGAGTTCTTTAAAGTGGGGGAATGTGTATTTGAATAGATAATATGTTGAAAGACTTATTAACAGCTCCACTCCGGATTTAGAAGCTGGACGCTTACGTGGGATTGTTTGACAAAAGCCGATAAATCATACGAGTGTCAGAGGGAAAAGGAAGTGATTTCAACATTTTCCTTAAACAAACAACGAGGTTTATTACGGCCAATTAGGTTGTTTATACCGAGGGGCGCGCTGCCAACGTGCTGTTGAAGCGTTCTGCCTGACGCCACTCACACGTGCGTCCTGACAGGTCGGCTTTTCAGGCTCGGCAGACCGAGACGATGCTCCTAATGTCAAAGGCGCCTTTTCACGCCACCAATCCACTGGCGAACAGAAGATGCCAGATGAGTAATCGCCTCCAATAGAACAGCTGAGGGTTCAGGACATCAGACCATTTCTACCACCGGCGTCTACGCCCTAAGCCTTCTCCACCACGCGGCCGCCGGATGTCCTTCTCTTCTCACGGTGTCCCTTCCCCTTGTCCCCCCCCCCCCCCCCCCCGCAGTGCGTCCACGTTTCACGCAGCCCTCCAAGATGAGGAAGCGGGTCATCGCGCGGCCGGTGGGCAGCTCGGTGCGCCTCAAGTGCACGGCGAGCGGGAACCCCCGGCCCGACATCGCGTGGCTGAAGGACGGCCGGCCGCTGGAGGACGAGGACGCCGCGGGAGGAGACGGAGACGGGCAGAAGAAGAAGAAGTGGACGCTGAGTCTGAGGAACCTGATGCCCGAGCACAGCGGGAAGTACACGTGCCACGTGTCCAACAGGGCCGGAGAGATCAACGCCACCTACAAGGTGGAAGTCATACGTGAGTCACGCAAAAAGAGAAGTGCAGTTTTGCTTGATAGTGACATTTTATAATCCAGTTATCTAATAATTCACTCGGCAATTCAATGTTTCAGCACAACGTGCGGCACGTGTTCCTCTACTTAAAGTTAAATCCGCACTTACGGCTGTTTTAGCTGATTTCACGTCTTGGCAGAAAAGTGTCTGACAACAACAAAACATGGAACACCAGATCGTGTGAGGCCCGTCCGGCATGGACGTCCTGCAGAGCGCTCGCTTCTGTGGCAGGCGAGGAGTGTGTGTGTGTGTGTGTGTGTGTGTGTGTGTGTGTGTGTGTGTGTGTGTGTGTGTGTGTGTGTGTGTGTGTGTGTGTGTGTGTGTGTGTGTGTGTGTGTGAGGAGACCACCTCCTTTCCCTTCTACTCTCCACATCTGCTGTACATTAAATAACAGCCAAACCAAAAAGAAGTGAATCCAAACGCTGCTCGCGGGTGTCGAGTGTGACATCGTCTCCATCGCTAGAGATTCACTCGGCTGTCACTCATTCACAGATAAAAGTGATCGATCTCTCACCCAACTGATGAACGTGTGTATAAATAAATATATATATATATATATAAATATATATATATATATATAATCAGGGAGTAATCGTAATATATGAGCATCTATCATCTCATGGAACGCATTCAATGCATTTTCCCCACTCGTCATCCCTCCTGAGCACCTGAAATAAAGCTTCTTGCTTCTTTTTCCTTTTCTATTGAGATGTTAGCTGAGTTCTGGCCGTCTGGTTTCTCTGCACTTCGGTGCCGGCTGCTTGTCTGCCAGATGCCTTCAGCAGCTCCTTACACAAAGTCGATTCGTGTCCCTCACACATGCTTGGGAAACAAAGACCAGGAAGTCGAGTCTCGAGCAAATTCCTCCGGTAAAAACATTCACCTGCTCTTTCCTCGGGTTTCCTTCTCGTGAGATCGCATTGGCAGATAGTGAGAAGGAGCCTGTCGAATGTCGATGGCAGGTGTGTTTGTTCTGCTGTATAAACGGAGGTGTATGTGGAGCGGAGAGGGCGGATGTGCTGCTGAACAGACGTATTCTGGTTCTCTTTTCTTCAGAGCGCACCAACTCCAAGCCCGTCCTGACGGGCACCCACCCCGTCAACACCACGGTGGACTACGGAGGCACCACGTCCTTCCAGTGCAAAGTCCGCAGCGACGTCAAGCCCGTCATCCAGTGGCTGAAACGAGTGGAGCCCGGGGACGAGGACCGCTTCAACTCCACCATAGAGGTGCGCGGCGGCTTCAGCCTCCCTCGTGGCTCCGAGGCGGGTCAGCCGCTCTTGACGGGTGCGCTCTGTTCCCGTGTGCAGGTGGGAGACCATCGCTTCGTGGTCCTGCCGGCGGGGGAGGTGTGGTCTCGCCCCGACGGGTCCTACCTCAACAAGCTGCTGATCACCAGAGCCAAGGAGGAGGACGCCGGCATGTACATCTGCCTGGGAGCCAACACCATGGGCTTCAGCTTCAGGAGCGCCTACCTGACGGTGCTGCCAGGTCAGCTAGCAGCTAGCCGCTAGCCGCCACACGGCCATGAGACACCCGACGAGAACATCATAGTTGAGGTTGATGGACATACAGTGATATGTTTCGACAGAAGTCCAGCATCAGATGTCACTTTCAGCTCTTACAAAATTATTATTGTTATTTTGTACAAATACAAGATAAACTTTGTTAGGTCCATCCAACACAAGTTAAAGTAAGTAAATAAAATTAACATTTAAGTGAGGAAGACAAAGTTATTGAGGGTGATTTATTCAATCGTCATCGCAGATCACCATGGAAACTAAATCAAAGATCCTCCTCAGCTTCTTGACCTTTGCAGGAAATAAAGTGTGCAAAGCTGCTAACATGCTAGCCCACGGCTAGCTAACGGCTTCTCACCTCCTGTCGTCACGTCCCTCTTCTCTCTTTGCAGATCTGAAGCCCCAGAACAACGCCGTCCCCACGGCAACATCGCCCAGCCTCCCCTGGCCCGTCATCATCGGGATTCCGGCGGGTGTCGCCTTCATCTTGGGCACCGCCCTGCTGTGGTTCTGCCAATCCAAGCGCACCTGCTCCTCCTCCTCCTCCTCCTCCTCCGCTCTCCCCGCCGGCCAGCGTCCGCCCGCAGCGGCCAACCGGGATCGAGCCGGCCCGGCGCCGCCTCCTCAGCCGGCCAACGGGGACAAAGATTGTCTTTCGTACGAGGACTACGTCGCCCGCCAGCAGCTGCTGCTGGCTCAGGGAGGCGCCGCGGGGGCCCCCAAGGTCTACCCGAAGATCTACACGGACATACACACGCACACGCACTCGCACGTGGACGGGAAGGTGCACCAGCACCAGCACATCCACTACCAGTGTTAGCGCACGCGCCGCGGCCCCACGTGCACGCGTTACACTCGTTCCCGTCAGTCCACGCCGCCGGGCGGAGCGAAGGAGCACGGAGGGTCACGGGGTCACGCCGCTCGTCCTCCTGCTGCTGCGGCCGTGACGTCGCGTCGCCTCATTCAGGACACAAACAATGAAGAATGTAAAGAGAGAAGACAAACCGGGCGGTTTTTAGGTCAATCTGGGAGCCGATCCAGTGAAAACCCCCCCAAAGTGTTTTATTGAAAACTTTTGGATATACAGAATATTTTTGTATTTCAAACCCTTCTTTAGTTTCACCCAAACGCGTCTTTTAGTACTTTGGATACAACCACAACCTCCTCCGTTACGGCTGAAACGCTCGCCGGCGCTGAGACATAATAAACTTCATCCCGGGTGATCTATAAAGAACAATATAGCACGTATGTGATGTAACCGCTTGATTTCCAAGTATAACTCAGCGACGGAGCCGTACAACACGGGGATGAAGGCAGCGAAGGCTGCGGCTTTCTTCTTCTTCTTCTGCGTTAAATAAAAATGTCCCGCCGCATGAATCTCTCAGCAGAGCGCCGGTGCGATTCGGTGTCCGTGCGCCTTTTCCTCCCGCAGAAAAGGTTTCATTTCCTGTTCAACGTTGTCGCCTTTTCATCTTTGTTCGAGGATGTCGGTTCTCCTCCTCCTCGTCGCGCGCGAAGGGGTCATCGCCGACTCCTCGGTGCGACGAGGCGCCTTCGGAGAATCGCCTCCAGGGTTCACGGATCGCCGGCGGATTATTGGATGCGTGTCACAGATTCCCGTTGATCTCTTATGAGATTTAGAGGACGTGAAAGGGTTTCATCCTGAGCTCCTTGACTTAAAGTCCTCCCAAAGGCCTGGTCTCCACACGGCGAGGGGGGGGGTCCATCCAAAGGGGGTGTTTGGGGATAAAGAAGCTCTGATCAGGAAAATTTTAGGTAAAATGAGGGAATTCCGCTTTAAACTAACACAGGTTAGTTTCCTGCCAGATAATCTACAAAGAGCTCTGATAGTTACTCAATTAATCGAATCTCAGAAGTCTTCTCAGTCAGAGAGTGAAACAATACAAAAGGTTCCAGTTGATAAAAGTCATGCTAAATGACCGAAAGGTTGAATGCTGCTCGGCATGTAACGTATTTTAAAGCAGTCACCGGGGCATTTGAATATATCACTTCCTGTCACATGCTGGTTCTTCTTCCTGTTGAAGGTCTGCAGGGAAAAAGCTCCCTGTAACGATCCCAAAACAGCCGAGTGACAAAAACACATTTCCTCTCCAGAAACGATGCGAACACAATGTAGGTGTTGAACTACGGCATCAGTAGCTTGTCCTCCCGTCTCCGCTGTCTGGAAACATCTGTTGTGGAGGTGAACAGCTGGTTTGTGGACAGTTCTGTCCCCTCGGCTGGGCCCTTCTGTGAAAACGTCCCCTTCTTTCATGTGAATGTTTAGTTTCACGGTGTCAAAGCGAACCGACTGCCACTAAAGCGACTTTCGAACCACTAGCATGAACGTTTTTGAACGTTTTTGCTCATTTAGTGAGACTGTTTGTAAACCAATTGGCCCACTTTACATTATAAATGGTGATAATAATTGTCTCAAGATTTAAAAAGAAAGTTTCTAATTTATTTTCTTTTAAAATAGTTTTTATTTTCATATAATTGGGCATTATACTGCATGAGTGGATTTTGTGTTGTATGAGTCATGAGCTATGTAACAAATACCGTGTTCATGTCATTGTAAGATACTGTATTTATACGTACGGACGTAATATACAAAACTTTATCGATAATCTTTGTATCGACAATCTTGTACAGTCTATTGTCATTTAGGGGAACAGTTTGTTCGTCCCGATGTAATCGATTTATTGTTGCCATTAAAAGATGTAGATCTACGCTCTGTGGTCTTTTCTCTTAAGGATCGAATCCAGTCGAAGCAGGATGGTGTAATTTAACGGTATCTTTCCGTACGATAGCTCTCGTCCTCTAAGGAGCTGCAGCCCTCCGACGGAGAACCGCGTCCGTCAACGTGTCCGCGTGGGGGGCCGACGGGCGGACGCGAGGTGCGTGCAGGCGGAGGGTTTGAAGGCCCTCCGTGACTCACGAGGGGGTGGAGGAGCTGCCAAAGGGTGGAGGACAAGGCAACACAATGAGATGATAATAAACAGCCTGCAGCAGCTCCGGCCTTTTAGCAGCATGTTAACGCAGCTCTCCAGTCCTCAGAGCTGCAGTTGGTGTGTCAGCGCAGGCATCAATCACCCGGGACGCTAAAGGACTTTGGACTCAAATGCACCACCCGCAGGTGGAGGAATCTGGAGTCGAGTCCGCTCAAATACAAGCAAGAGGAAAATGTCTGAATATGTAGCTGCTGAATGTTCTGTAAATCACTTTGGGGAAACATGAGTCCTTCCAAGAAGGAAGGAAATCAGAAAGCCAGAATCATCTGGACCGCTCTCCGTGCAAATCAGGGATCTGGTGATGCACAATACTCCGAGGAGCATTTACTCAATTATATAACTGACTACACATTTTTGGGGTCTGGAAACAGAGTTAAAAGTTAGCACAGAAAGATGCTGAGACAGCGGAGTGGCTGCAGGCCTTTGTTGCTTTAATGCCGTATTGCTTCATTTGACCACTTTACACAACAGATAGAAACATTTAATTGAAAGAAAATCAGGAAAAAAAACAGAATTGACCTCCTTCCTCCTCATGTGTTGGATATTTTGACCAACGTAGCATCACAGGAACAAGGTTTTCATGAGTTGTGGGAAGAGAAGGAGAGAAGTCCAGAGCAGCAAAATCCAGAGGAGGAATTTGTGGTTTCGATGTTGTTGCAAAGTAAACGGTAACTCGTGACTACATGACCCGAGTTATCCGCTGCATCTCCACACATCTGGTGAGCCTCAGTGGAGATAAACAAACAGCAGGGGTTGTGTACGCAGGATTTGCAGCCCTGACAGACACACAACGTGTGTGTTTGTGTGAGTGGAAACTGTCCGGATAAAAGATGCTGTAAAAGTCAAATATGTGACTCATTTTCTTATCTCAAAGATTACAGTCTCCTCCATTCGGTTCCCCTGTGAAGTTGATTGACTTGAGGAGGTGGGGGGAGGTTGGGTGGAGAGGTGGGGGGGAGAAAATGGAGAGCAGATCAGTGACCAAGTGTCGGCTGAACAGGAAAGAAATGTCACTTCTTCATGAAATGCTCTCCAACCCTAGAAATAACTAATAATCTTTTAAATAATCTAAGTTAGTAAAAACATTGGGAAAATGTCGTGGTGTTTTTCTCCACCCGACCTTTGTTTAAGCAGATGAGAGTCTCATTGTGAGAAGTCAGCATACAGTAGAAATGTCAATAAACTGAAATATCCGGCTCATGTTACACAAACACGCAGTGAGTCTCTGAAACAGACACGAGGTCTCAAGTCACCGTCCACGTTATTCTACACAATTTAAACGCATTCCTTTGGTTGAAATACTGACAAGAAGTTACCTTCAGCGGGTCAGTGTCTGTTTTGTGACACGTAACCGTTTGCAGCGTGTGGCCTCGCCGGCCTTCGGGGCTCCGTGTGCCGCGGTGCGGCCGGCTGAGCAGGAGGCTGTGAAGACATTCCTGAGCGGTTGAGATGAAGGACGGATCCTTTGTGCGACTGAAGCCACTGTTTTGTTTTCCCTTTGACAGGAAGCTTCTAGTCCGTGTTACTCGTGTCATGTATGTGAACCAACGGGCTCTTAGCTGTTTGACAGATGGAACATTGCAGAGAGAAAACTACGTAGAGTTTGACTTCAATTATAAGACATGTTGTGATGTGTCTTTAGTTGCCAAGGAGACGAGGCTAGAAATGAGCATCCTGTTGAGGTAACGAATCTTCTCTAACGGCGGTCCTCCTCTGACCTATGCTGACCGCTGCCAGAGCAAATGTTGCATCCTGGAGACCTTGAGGTCTTGCAGGACCTTTTGCTCGCTCTCTGGTGTGCGGCTGGCTGGTTAGGAGGGTGTGAACCCGTGGAGGAGATTCCTGGGCGCTTGAGTCAACAGCAGCTGTGGGCGGTGATGAAGAGACGCTGTCCAAAGAGCCTTTTACCCGCAACAGCCTGAAAGGACGGCTCAGGTGAATGGAGTCAGTGACCATGGAGGCCTCACACACACACACACACACACACACTGAACTGAGGGATTTGCTAAGTGCATATGCAAAAGGTGCACATGGAGGTTATACTCACACACACACACACACACACTGGCTGTGGGAACAACAGAGACACCTGGCTGCCATTGAAGCTGTGCCGTGTTTGCATACCTCGCCCTTGCTGCACTCATCCTCCACGCAGCCACAAAGCCGCCATTAGAACTGGGAAAACAAAAACACAAAAAGAGGCTAAAAGGGGGCAATGGGTGGCTTCCATCCCTCGGCCAACCCTATTCCTCCCTTCCTCCTCCCTTCCCTCCCTTTCTCTGCGCCAAATGTTTACCCCCCTGTGAAGAGAGAGGGATGTGGACAGACAGGGTGAGAAAAGAAAGACGGCTGGCAGAGGGGAGGAGGCCTTTAAAGTCTGCCACAGAGCCGTGACAAAAGCCTCCTAATCTCGGTGTTGTCTTTTCGGCCCCTTTTTCTCCCCACACATCCTGCCAAGTGTGCGCCTCTGTGTGTGTGTGTGTGCGCGCGTGTTTGTAAGTCAGAAAAAGAGGAAGAAAGTCAGAGCTGATGCAAGTGTGTGTGTGTGTGCTTGTGTTTGTGTGTATCTGTGACAGGAAAGGAATCTTTCCACAGCGGCGCTGACATCACTCAAGCATGTATGGGACAGTTGGAGGAGGCCGGGCCCCTTCAAAGGAACAGCCTGCCTGCCTTCACATGTGGGATGCCATGTGTGTGTGTGTGTGTGTGTGTGTGCGTGTGCTGAAGAGAGAATGAGTGGTCCAGGTCACGCATCCTCACCTGTTCCTCTTTGACTCATTCAGCTCTCTTCCACTTCAGTGTAACAAACCTGGTGGCCTCGTGCGTCCAGCGACGAGTCGGCTTTTTTGCTGCTGTTGCAGAGCAGCAGATGTGAACAGACGTGTGTGTGTGTGTGTGTGTGTGTGTCTTCACTCACAGCAGAGGAATGCGCGCTGGAGATGTGACGGGCTGAGAAGGACTACGGCGCCACCTACAGGCCGGCCGGCTAAACGTCTGGTCAGAGCAGCTGCAGCAGCTTTCATGTTACTGAACAATCATTTCAAAAGGAGAGATTTGTGTTCCTGGAAAAGACATTTCACTCATTGATTGATTCCTAAAATTAATCTGAGCAAGAATTTATTTTGTGATACTAACAAAAGTACAGTATATTATGGTGGAGGAAATGAATGCTACATCATCTATTATGTGGTGAAACCCTGTTACAATTTTATACATTCAATAAAAAATATATTTTGTTTAGATTCCAAAAAATGTATGTTTTAATTTAATATTTTTTTGTAAAAACAAAACAGGATGATATTATCAGCACAATATGTTTTGCATGAAAGGCAATTTATTTTAAAGTAATAACATCCAGCATAAAACTACCTCAGCTGCTACCAGGGAAAGAACATGTGACTCTTTCATTATAATATAACTCCATACAATACCAAAACATGTCATATGGATTGAGTCATTTCCATAGTTTCTATCTGCAGGATATCTTGTAGGGAAAAAGTAACATCATTTTCTCCATTATTAAATCATTTTCTTTGCAAATCATCTCATTAGATTGATCTTGCACTGCTTTAAACCATTAACTATATTAGATCTACGTGAAATGTTTGCACTTCATGATTTTAACTTTTATTCATTCGGGGTCAAACACCACGAGGAACTCGCTCTGTGGCCCTCAGAGACAAATAGCTGCGGTGTGAAATCACTTAGTTCGTGCTGCGTCTTGCCTAGAGGGGATTACACTTACAGCACCAAAGGGTACAAGAGGGAAATACTGAGTGACAAAGTGTGAAATCTGGATCAGATTAAGAGAGAAGCCTCTCTCTCTCTCTCTCTCTCTCACACACACACACACACACAAGACGGAGACGGAGGCACCGGGAGCGAGGGAGGGGTGAACAAGCTGTGGGAACATGCTGCTGAATAATTACCTCTGACATCAGAATAGTTTTCTTTGGTTCTCTGAAGTGGCAGAGCTCATTTGTACAGCCTGGAGGCATGCAGGGTGTGTGTGTGTGCGTGTGTGTGTGTGTGCGTGTGCTCATAAGGGAGCGATTGCTCTGATTTACTCGTCTCTCTGTCACAGTGTGACAGCGTGACAGCTCGGCCGGCCCCAGGGAGCCATTTCTCTCTTAAGTGGACCGTAGGAAACAGGAAACGACCTCAGATCCCAGCGAAGCGCTGAGGAGGATCGGCGGTACAATCACGCACACGCACACATGCTAGTCGGGGCCTGAACATAGCGTGTGCAAACCCTGAGCGCACCACACGCACGGTCACACCTGAGCCCTCTTCAATCGTCACCATTCAACAGCCTGACAAGCGGGGACAATGGAGGCCGAGCCGCGGAGGAGAGGGCGGACCTGCCTCAACACATCTGGCCGTCCTCGCCGCCCGCGTCGGCTTTCCCCCGCCGAGGACTTCAGGTGGTGTCGTGTTTCTGTGCGGCTACAATTCGCTTCGCCTTCACTTGCAGCTGTTTTGTAACGAGACGTGAGGGCGGAATGCCGAGTCATGTTACTGCAGTGGCGAGCAGCGGGGCCGCGGGGGCGGAGCCTCCGGGTGAGGGGGCTTTTCTCCACGCCACTCCAGCATTTTGTCTGTCAACCTCCAAGGTTGTTGCACCCAATAATGGAGGTGATTCTGGTGACCCTAATCCCGGTTTACCTTTGCACATGAACAGGTGCTGCAGAGTGAGCAGGGCGTCATTTTGTGCCTCGGGCGAGCAGCTCGAGAGGTTCTGTGGGTCGAGGGGCTCTGTGGGTCGAGGGGCTCTGTGGGTCTGGGGTTCTGTGGGTCGAGGGGCTCTGTGGGCTTGGGGTTCTGTGGGTCTGGGGTTCTGTGGGTCGAGGGGCTCTGTGGGTCTGGGGTTCTGTGGGTCTGGGGTTCTGTGGGTCGAGGGGCTCTGTGGGTCTGGGGTTCTGTGGGTCGAGGGTTGCTGGTCTCTCTGCTGAAAGGCTTCACCGCCTCAAACCACCAGCTAAAGGACTGCAGCGCTAACGGATTACGCACCAGTGGCTCCACGTGTCATTTAAAGCAGACCAGGCTAATGTCAGTATGACATCACTTTAATTGATTGTGAGCCAATTCACCAAAACAGAATCCCGGTTCAGCATCATTCAAGTCGGACCCATCTCATTTCACCAGGGAACCCAGTGGTTAAAACAACATCGTAAATAGCTCCTCACACACATTCATGACAGCTCAGGTGTGTGTTGGATTGCGAGGAGGGCTGACCAGGGAGGACAGGTGTCTGAAGGAGGAGAGGGGCTTGATGAAGGGAGACTTCTGTCCAGAACTTTGGCCGTAGGAAATGTCTGTCATCGGAGATCCATGGAAACGGCTGATGGAGGAGAGGAGAGAGGAAAGGACAGCGAGGAAGGAGAAAAGAGGACATGCGAGGAAAGGAGAGGAGGAAACAGTTTATTTTCCCTCCATTCGTATTTTCTTTCTCATGGTCATGAAATGAGCAGCATCTCTTTCTGTACGTACTTACAGCTTTAATAGCGTATTTTATGAATGAATAATGAATAACAGTAATAAGTCACCTGACTGTGGCCGAGCGAGCTGAGTGGTGGACCGTCATGTTCTGGCTGGAGGGCCTGTGAGGGACGGTGCCTAAACACCAAAAAAACAAAAGCCCTGAGGTCCACCGTCTCTAACATGCGCACGTAGAAGGATGTAAAATGCCTGAGATACTTGTGGGTCATCGTGTGTTTCTTCCACCACCTCACTTGGAAACTAAATAAACGCCTGAATCGTCTCACACACACTAATGCAGATGCTTCAACGCGGACCACACGTACGCATCCACAGAGCTTCATTGTAGACGCCACATTAACCCGAACCCGCAAAAACAATACATTTAATTATCTACGCCCAATAAGTCTGCTGCTGCGAGGGAAATATTGTGATTTCCTTCCACACAATAATCGTCTCAGCACAGATTTAGTGAGGATCTGCACAGTCCGATTAACGTCACCTATCTGCCACAGTGGAGGTCCACTCCTTTTAAGGAACTAAATGGCATAATCAGAGAGGATGAGCTCAGTAGGCGTAATCCTAAACACAGCAGCAGCTAACATCTGTGCTGGGTTAATCCCCGTGGGTGGTACACGGCGTCCATAACCGCCCAACAAGGCTGCAGGACGCCTCTGTCAGCTTATTAAGGTGCATTTATCTTGTTTATGAACCACCGGCACTTTATTGTGTTGTATCCAAGGTAACATAACACACGGGATTTAGCAGGACGTCCAATACTATTACACTGTGAACCCAATAGTATAGTATACATGATGCATAAAGTAGATCAGAGGTTATGAGCTCCGGTTGACGCAGTGAAGGTCTTCCTGTGATGAGAACTGAGAACAGAAGCTGTGTGACGAACGCACCCATGCGGCCGTCCTGCGGAGGACTGATGAGGGACAGTCTGGGGCCGGGCTTCGGCTGCAACACAACAATCACTAGTCACCACCGAGGGCTCTCATACGCTACATTACTCAAACTGCACAGCAGCAAAGGAAGCTTCCTGCCGGGGAAGTGATGACGCTTACTTTTCTGAACAGGCTCCTTTCATCCAGGTCCACGTTTTCAGAGCTGCAAGACACGAGAGCACGTTGGTCTCAGGACGAGGGCCTAACTGTGTAGTTTCACTCCAAAGAAAGATATTCACCTTATGAGATGCTAACGTTTACTTTTTAGAAGAATGCAAAAAAAATCTTTCTCCAACTTTACAGATTAATTTTTAAAATATGACACTAGGAGGCGATTAATCTCATGCTAGATTTTTATTCGTAAAAAAAAATGCACAGCATTTTTGTCGTATTTGATCCAGGTGAGTTCCTTAACCGATTATTTTTTACTGCATTTGATTTGTTTTGACAAAAATATATTTTAGGAATAGTATTAAATAGTTGTTCCAATGTTGTATTTCACATGAAAACATCACGCACAATTCTCTGAAACTTGAGAACAACTGCAAAGTATTCATATGTTGATTTTGTGAGTCAGATTTTTAATTAAATTCAGCATCTAATATCCAAATATTTTGAGAATAATCCCTGTTAAAATTCCTTTCAAATGATCAATTTACTCTTTAAATAAAAACCACAATTGAGCCTGCCGGCCCGGCGGTGATTCTGTAACTGGGGTTAATATCCGCCGTCCATCATCTACTCGCTCAGCAAAACCTAAAGTCCCAGTGGATAAAACAACATTTGCGCAGACATTCAGCCCTGTGTCAACGGTGTCTAGGAAACCCAACGGGGAATCCTGACTAAACCCGACCAAAGCTCAGCCTTTCCCTGTGTGTGTGTGTGTAGATAACCGCGGGGCAACCACACAGCAGCTAAAGCTAACATAAGAGGTCGGGGCTGAGCTCGGGATATCGCCTGTTTGCACGGCGGAACGCCGCCCCGCGTTCTCCCTCCCCGCGCTCTCTGCGGAGAGGCGATGAGGGGCAGAGACGCGCGAGGTGAGGAGGTGCGAGGGCCGATACTCACATGTTAGTCGCTGAGGAGTGTCTCGAGAGCGACGCGGGGGAGCTGTAGGGGATCTGCAGGACGGACGCTAAAGCCAGAGAAGCATTAGTACAGGGAATGTGTGAATAAATACGCAGGTGAGGGGACGCGGGCCACTTCCATGTCAGTGGCCTCATTCGCCTTTTGACATCGATAAGCCAATGATGCTTTTCTTTTGTAGAACAAGTGTTATTCTTGATTTGCTTGTCTAAAGGTTTAAAGCGCAGCTTCGCTAATGCGATACTTTTAAATTGAAGCTAATTAGCTTAATTTGGGGAGCAAATCCGGTATTCCCATAAATAGCTTAACCCACTCTTCCCGTTCTCGAGTACGTGTTCTAAAAGGCCTCCCTCCCAACCCTCCTCTTTTCTCTCCCCCTCTTGTTACACGGTTTTTTGAAGGGCCCTGAAGGGGTCCAACGTAGCCCCCCACAACCCACCCGACCACCGGACGGAATCCTCCAACGATCCGTTCTCTCACGTTAGACGCATTCAGTGGATGCCGTGGTCCTTGTGAGTGAATTATTTAGAATCACTCGTCCAGTCTCAAAGTATATTCTTCCACACCTCCAACTCTATTTTATCAGTCTTTGGGTGGAGGAATACCCAATTTTAGAAAGTAATAAAACGTGTTCTGCAAACCGTCATTGAGTTGAGAAGAATATAACAGTGTGTACAACGAGTAAAAACCGTGTGAAGTGTTTTTTTACCTGACTTGCGTCCATGCGGCGGGAAGTAACTGTGCATCTTCTGAGGCACTGATGAAACTCTGGCACTGGAACGGTAATAACAGAGATTAATCAGCTGGTGGTCGGTTCGAATCCCACGATGCGACACGGTGACGACTCTTCTCCCTCACGATGGACAAATGACTTGTAATCACAACTCAGAGCCTCCCCCCCTTTAATTATTTCGCTCATAAATCACGAGTGACTGATGAACATCTCTATGAAGATAACAGTGCAGACTTTAACGTGCATATCTTTGTGTGATCCAAACCTCTACTCATTGCATGCATTTTTAAACCTCTGACTAACTGGACGTTGCTCCGTGGTGTTTCCAGGAGGAGCTGTGCCAGAAGTGACACCTGGTGAGCAGAGAGGAATAACGGCCCGCTTGTTGTAAATTACTTTATAGCCTAAAGCGTGCCAAACTGAAAGAGGCCATTTCATTTAAAATCATTACAGGTTTAAGTAGCTGCAGAGATCATCGTCGAGGCTAATTTTAGTCTTTCACGAGCATGACGATTATTGATGCAGTGGGACGTCTAATGTTTAAATCCTCTGTGAATGACGGATGCTGCAAACATAAGCCAAATGCTTTTTAGCAAACACTTTGAAAATACATTTTTCAGGTCTTTTGGAAAATATATTATATCACACAGAAGAGTAGCTGGAAGTAGGAGAATCTGACAGTAAGGTTTACAAGGATTAAAAAAAAAATTACCTACAAAAATATGTATTAATAGTTTTAGGGGTCTCAAATCTTGGAAATCAATGAAAGTGTAATAAATAAAAGACGCACTTCAGGAGTTAAACCCATTATGACAACATCAGCGTGTATGAATATAATCGTTGTAAAAGGATCTCCTCCCTGCTGTACCTCTGATGCTGAAGAGAGTTTTCCAGCTTGGAGATGTAGGCGCTCTGTTCATTCAGCTTCCTTCATGAAAGGGTCAGAAATAAATAACAAAAGCACCCAGATCGTCACAAGCATAATAGAAACAAGTGTGAAAATGCACTACAGACTTGTGGTTTAACTTACTTTGCCATCTGCTGCATTTCTTGCTTCATCTTGACTAATACTTCCTGTAAATTCTCATTCTGCAATTGATAAAATGCTCGTTGGTGCAGTTGTAAGGCAACATCATGCTGTAAGACATGTTTTTATACATTTATATAAACTGTATGTTTATATCTTTATGGCAGTAATATCACCCTTTGCTGGTAATGAGTCAGCAGCCTCTTCTGATGTCTTGCCTGGAACATTATAACCTAAGAAAAAGAAGTCTGCATTTCTACATATTGCGATAAAGTTAAACATGAAATCAATCGTGTTGGAGTGACTGAGGCAGACAGATCGGATGTAAGAGCAGTTAACCAGACGGTTTTCCACATTCTACGATGAGATTGAAAATGAGCACACTTTGATGATTTCCGTGGTGTTCTTGGTGGCCACACAGTTGATGTCGGAGAACAGCGCCTTCACCTCCGAACTGCTCTGAAACAAAAGACATTTCACGCGGCCGTGACGCGACGCAAGGACGCAGATCTGGAGTCATTACAGGTATCCGGTGAGGAGAGAGGTGCTTACTTTGTCAGACAGCGGTGATACTTGGCATTTGGAACTGCATATTAAACACTTCCCTGGTTTGCCTGAACACAAAATTGCAATTACACGTGGATGAAAACACGAGACAAATTCAAGACTCATACTGAATAGAGGACACGTAGACTCAATCGAATAAAGGGACGCAGCAGTGGGGGACAGAGGGACTTCCAGGAGGCCCAAACCGACAATGCAGATGATCGGTAAGGGAAAATGTGCCCAACGTTATCCGAGATGTCACACCTGGTGTGAAGGTGAGTCGTCCGCTCCGCAGTGTCACCTGACGTCCAACAGATGTCCCTGTTTAATCACTGTTTAATCCCGGTTCATCGGCCTGCCCGACGCGTTTAGAGGCGCCTCAGTGAGCTTGCGTGTACCTTTTTGATAACAGGTGTTGCAGACGACGTGGCCGCAGGTTGTGACGGCCAGGTGTGTGTCCGCCCCGGGGCACCGGAAGCAGGAGTTGCAGCGGACCCAGTAAGACATCTGAGGACCTGAAGGACAGATGAGCGTCAACTGACTTTAACTTGTTTTAGCTATCAGGGTTAGTTTGTTGTTAGCAAATGTTAGGTTCGCAGAACGTCTAATTATCACCTTTTATTTAGCCCCTTTCTGCACCTCTTCTATCCACCTCGTTTCTACAACAGCGTTAAGAGCCTGTAAATGTAGTTAACGTTACGTTACCTGCGGTGTCCCGCTGCCAGCGGAGCAAGGTGCGGTACAACGTTAGCTAGCGAGCTAACGTTAGCTAGTTTAACGGCAAATACCTGCAGCGGAGTTCTGAAAAGTAACGTCACGAGCGGCCTTTTTTTTTAAATCCAAGTTAATTCAATTAAAGTTACATAACCACACTGCCAGTCTAGCTGGGTTACATATTCACTATATAGTGAACTAACCTTGCTAACTTGGCCAGAACATTACGCAGTCGGCCCTGCGTGAAAAACACCACGGTTGTAAGCTAAGTGGCTAGCTGTTAGCTAACGTCACCTCTGGTAGAGCGTCGCCGAGCGGGAGGCGAGTTAAGTAACGTTACCGCTATGCGCTGTTTAAGAGGATTCAATTCAAGTTCGTTATTTTATTAACAATATGTTTTTAAATGGTTATAATCACAAAACATTCAGTTAAATTACATTTATTTTTTTCACATATTATCATGTTGTGTTTTCTGTCTTGATGGACACATTTATACATGTTTACAGCAGTTTAAACAGTATAACAGATACTACAGTTAAATCCACCCTAATGCAATGTGGCTTCATGAGACTAGAACGCGTTTATAAGAACCCTTTAGAAATATAGTACTTTCTGGCAAGATTCTCCAGTTTATACACAAACAAAACATTTTTAAAGTGGTGCTGGTGTTTTTTTTTCATTCGTCGCAAATCCTTGCAACATTATTTTGGCCAGGTTCAGTTTTTAATTCTATGTGCTTTTTGATTTTAAATTGATAAAAGGCGTAGAGTTTGTGTCATGGACCGAGAGGTCACCGGTGACCTAGGTCAGAGGTCATCATGAAAGAACGCACGAAGCGAACGAACGTGATCAAAAATTGGACGCCCGGTTGGGGACATCTGGAAGGATTCAGCCACACAACTTCTCTCGTTCTGGTAGATTTATTTGTCAGATCACAGGTCGAGTATCAGCGCTGCGTTTGCAAAGGCAGGAGCCGTTCTGTCGGCCGGAAGAACAACCGACTAACATCACGAAGAACATTATGTTTTATATTTCTTGTAAGATATAAAGGGAAATATTTCTATTGGCCCTAAACTGGCGTCGAGGAGGAGCAGGTCCTCTCGCCGCAACACAAGATCCAATCACATGCAACGTGTGGTCTCCTAACATTAATGTGAACACAAGCAACAAAGCGTGAGTGTTGTGCGGTGCCTGGTGGGTCTCTAACGTCTCGTCCTTATCACACCTGCGTCTGCCTGGTTGGAACTTTCTGCTTTCCCTCTGACCTCCCTAAAAACGTTTTTGATTATCAATCATCAGACCAGCTTCTTGGCGATGAAGAAGTCTTTGAGTCGTTTCATCTGCCAGAAACCGACTGACAGCAGAACGGAGGTCTGCACCACGGCCCACCACAGCACTTTACCGTTGGTGTCCTCGCTGATCTCGCGAAACAGCTCCTCTTTCTCCTGAATGAAAGCAGAGAACACGCGATGTCATACTACGGGGCCGGTATCTCTGCAGACTCTACGGGGAAGTCCTCGTTTACCCTCTGGTACTCCTGTTGCCTGGTGATGTACGTCATCTGATCTATGAGATGTCTCAGGCTGTTCTCCAAGATCTCCATGTTGTTTTCGGTCTTGCCGGTGTTGTGGTCAATCGGGTGTTCTCCCATCTGAACATCCAAATTTAGCTTCTGTGCAGCACGATGGAGAAAAATAAGGGGTTGATAGAATACAAATAAACAGGTGTTGGACTGTTTACTTTGTAAATACATGGTGTGTTTGTGTCCGTAGGTCTCACCAGCCTCGCTCCAGCAAAGACGGCAAACCTCGTGGAGTTGGTTTGGAAGCAAAGGTGGTGCTGACCAGAGGCGTGAGCTGTGAAGGTGAATTTACCAAATTTACTGTAGCGTTTGGACATCAGAACCTAGAGAGCAGGAAAGACACGGTCAAGGCAACGCTTCCTCATCTGTGGCTCAGCGACATTGAGACGTGTTTTTGTCTTTTTGGCTCAGGCCCGTGGAAGAGGAGAAGGAAGGGATGGCTTTGTGGTCCTGGCCTGACGACGTCAGTTCCCCTGTGAGTTCAGTACCTCCGCGTTTGGGTCTCTGACGGTCACAGTGACGCCAAAATGAGGCGAGTGGGAGAACGCCTTCAAATCCCAAGGCTCCAACAGGAAGTGACCTGAAGGAGAAGCACCGTGTCCTGTGAGTGCATTCACATACACAACGTCCTTCTAAAACAAACATTAGATCAAGCATGAAGAGGGATTGGACACATGAACTTGTATACCAATCCGTTATGTCCAAAACGTAGGACAGGAAGAGACACGACAGCCGGGACGTGCATTGGACATCAATGCGTGAATCAAGAAGCACGTGGCCTTCCATCGGTTAGCTGGTCAGCTGTGTTGACACCGTAAACGACTCTCAGGATGACCGTTCGCTCTCCAGGACTCACCGGTGACCAGCGTGTCTTCAGGAACCTCCTCGATGATGCACTTTTCCTCCTGCTCCCCGAGGTCAAAGTACATGGCTGCTGCTGCCGACACCAGGTAACACCGGAGGAGAACGCCGATGCCTCGCAAACTCATTCTCACTGAACTGTTCAGCTACTCGCACGTGATGGCTTTTGAATGGAACTACAGGTCGAGGTGTTTTTCTACGACTATCGCTGCGCTGACGTTGCCTGCAGCATAGAGGGGGAGGTCTGAGTGTGGGAAACACACAGGTGCTGCTTTGTGTGACGAGACGTTCCGCTGGTCATGTGACCGGGAGCCAATAGAAAAGCTGCAAGAGATAAGATTAATTTCTACAGATGACGAGCAGTGTGCGGATCATACACAAATGTTGTCATTTTACAGATAATAATGACCAATTAGTATGATGATGGTGCTTATTTGCTCTGCGTTTACGACACCAAATGGAAAGTGATGGAAGCCAAACTGAGCTTTAAAAATCAATAGAAGAGCAAGTAACAGTTCCATCTCACACTGAAGCTGGGGATGGTTGATCTCGACAAATGCACTTCTCACTTTTAATTAAGACACTTTGATTTGTCCTTTTAAACTTTAACCTTTTAAGGAGTAAGAATTACTACCGTTATATTGTCTTTTACTACAGTAAGAGATCCCAGTGGCTTTGGAAAGTGCAATCCAACCGGTTACGTACGCCAGTTGCTTCATGCCAGGGGTGTCCAAACTTTTTTCCCCGAGGGACTCGTAGCGAAAAATATCCGAAGGACTGGGCCTCACGAGACGTGAGGTGTACTGCCTCCCTAATGCACTAATATTGGCTAAATCGGTCCAATGCAGGCAAATTACGTTTGATAATTGAATATGTTTGAAGAAAAAAAGCCTCCATTAGTAGATTTTCATTTTATTTTTGGCAGGTCATTCTTCTTCAGGTGGTTTTTATTGGTTCTTAGGGAGATGATCCCCCTGCATTGTCCTACACGAAGTGAGAGACAAGAACAGAAATAGGGGATTTGGATATTTCAAGCTTATTACACAAATAAATTATTGGGATTGTTACCACGGCAAATGAAAACTGTATATTTTTAACTCCTCTGTAATGGGAGAATGTTGCGCTCAGTGGGAGCAGGGATGCTGCGCTTTGGTCCAAAGGACAGCTGGCAGGTCGGGAGGAGGTTTGGTGGTTGAGATGCTGTCGGCGTGATGTATGTATGTTGAGCCCAACAGACTCATTGTCTGTCATTCGCTTTGCGTGGCGCCTCATCAGAGGAAACTTGGGCTTTTCCAAGCTCCGGTAGAAGTCCGCAGGGACGAGAAGCTGATGCTGATTCTTTAGAAAATCATCGCACTGAATTTCGATCAGTTCTAATTGCTGACTCTCCTCCACTTCTTCTGCATCCGTTGAAAACGGAGCCGCAAACGGTGTGATTTCCTTCTCAATGACAGAAAAGTCTTGGAAGCGCTGACTGAATTCTTTCAGCAGAGCAGAGTTTGGCATTTGGAAGTGCGCTGCGTTGAAGTTTCGCAGTTGTTACCCGAAGAGACGGAGCTTCACACGGAATGCGTTCATGCGTGCATGCAGCTGTGGTACCAGCTGCTCTCGTTCAGGGCGTCGAGTTGATCAGTGAGATCAACTAAAAAAAAGCCGGGTCTGCCAACCATAACCCCTTTCTTTCAAAAACATGTCGATATTTGAATAAAACCGCTGCAGCGCCGAGCTGCTGAGCCAGCGCACTTCAAAGTAGGTCCCGTATTCAGCAACGCTCGAAATTCTCTGTGCTAAAGCCATCGCGCATGAGTTATGTTGACAGTTTTCACAACTGAGAGACGGTGGCGCATGGGGTACGGCGGGCGCGCCAGGAACCGCAGGGTTGGCGGTTCAAACCCGGGTTAAACGCACGGAACAATTTCCTGTATGTGTAAAGTAAAAATGTCGTCTTCTTCTTCTTCTTCAATACAGCTTAAAAATGGATGGTGGGCCGCAGTGGGCCCGCGGGCCGTAGTTTGGACACCCCTGCCTTATGCAAACCCAAGATGAGGTCACTTTTAGAGTAAACCCCCGCACACGCAATAAACCCTTCTGGGATCTACCATCTGCAGAATAAGTTGTTGTTCCTCAAAGTCAGCAAATAATCAGTTTTCCTTCTCTCCCCACGCTTCAGGACTTCTGCAGAAGATGTGATCGCTAAACTAACCTGCTATTCAAATAGCAGATCCAGTACTAAGCTGCAGTAGAATCTTATATTGTTAATATTCAGCACCATCAACTAAATACCCGTCTATCATTTAGTTCTTACCGTCCCATTCACATTTTGTCACTTTTGTAAAATGAAACTCCTCCAAACCCTTTTGGTTCGGCGATGAAGTTGTTGTTGTTTTGTTTGGTACACACGCCGTGAGGTACCCATCTTGATTTTCCATCAGGAGCGGAAGGAGCTCCATCTGCACCGGACGCCTCATACCGTTGAATCTGTCGTCTGCAGGACGCGTCCTACGTCGCCCGGGTGGGAAGGTGCGGGATGTTGTCGTCGTCCTGCCAAGAAACCCTTCTTAAAAAAAATCGGGGTCAGCTTGCGCGTAGCCGACGTCTGCTGCGGCTATCAACACTTGAGAGGGGGAGGGGCCTCGGCGGACGTCACGCCGTCAAGTGCCTCCGAGATGAATCCACATTTGGGGAACTGTTTTAAATAGTTGGTGAGCACAATCTTCAATTTTAATGGCGAACACCTCATCAGGAGGAGTCCTGGCCAGCGACGGGTCTCATCCAGTAGAAAGCGTTTCCCTCTACGTTTGACGTGTGGCTCATATTTACAGGTCGAACAGATGGTTTTAGTCTTGGTTGTGACGGTGTTCTGAGGGCAATACGACACCAACTGTACGTCATGTGCTCTTTTCATCACACCATCTCTGTCTCACAGAAACGCTCATGAGTGAGCTCACAGTCCCATGAGATATATTTACACTTTATTGATCATACAGAACAAAAACACATACAACATGTTTGTGTACATCCTTTGCAATTCTGTAGTTTTTATACAAAAACTACTATGATAAAAGAGGCGTACAACTTATTACATTGAGAGCTGATGTACTGTACACTACAGGTTAGAATCCTGCCAATAAATATACTCTTTGTTTTCAGGAGAACGACACATTAAAATCTATGTCTGCCCCACTTTTCTCACATCACTGCTGAACTTCTAATGGAACTATTGCGGCGTCTCGTTGGATTTTCTGTAGTATTTCTTTGATATAAATATTTGCGATCTTAATTATTATTATTGTGTAGTTGCTTTTTATTTTTTATTTGCTTGAGGGAAGGTGGTGGGACTTGTGAAAAACAAATGTGATCTTCAGAAAGGTCCATTTAACACCACGGTAAAATGTGAAATGAGTTCATAGCCACGTCACCGCATCGTTCTGTCCCCAGAAGGTTTGGATGAACGGACAAAACTAAATTGGTGTCTAATAGCTGCTGTGCCAAACTACACCGCTCTAGTGCTGTCGATCTATCGGTGGCGCTCGGGGATGAGACGCTTTCTGCATTTAAACAGCGGCCGTTCCGTTGGAGGAAACGATGGCGTCCATCACTCTTACACTGCAGACCTTCTCCTGTTGTTTCTCCTCCTTCGCCCTTTCCTCCCTTTCCTCCCTTTCCTCTCTCTCCTCTCCTTCCTCTCTTTCTTCTCCCTCCTGCCCTGGCCTAGTCATAAACAGTTGTCCGGGAGGCACTTCCTCTCTTCCTCCAGCAGGGGGCAAGCCAACCCGTTGTTGGCCGAGTGCATGACGACGTAGCGCGTGCGGTGCTGCACGCCCGAGTCTCCACACTTGCTTTTGCACAAACCCCAAGGAGACCAGACCGAGACCTCGCAGTCCAGAGGCGTATCTGCAGGAAGAGAGGAGGGTTGTAATCACAGGTTCTCTATTGCTTCTAGCTCTTGCAAAACTATTATAGCATGAATGGTTGAAAGAGAAAGGTGGAATTCCCTCTGCCACCGAAGTCTCTCGCTGCGTAATATTCTACTTTGTTTGCTGCTCCTCCCAACGCGGTGAGCTTGCACAGCTGATATGTATCACAGACTTAAGTTGTCCGTTAGCAAGAGTAGGAAAGCAGACGGAAGCTGCAGTGATGGACGGAGGGCGTCAGTGTGTCCAGCGAGGACACGGCGCTGTCTCTTTGCATTGCAGCAGGTGCTTTGTAATCGGACATGAGCGTTGTCGCTCAGGCCCCGGGGGGGGGGGCATGGAAGGGAAGGGAAGGAAGGATGAAGAGGCGGACGGTTAGGAGGGAGCATTGGGATTGAGGCAGGAAACCCCAACGGATGCCTGGCCCGTCTCTCTGTTGATTTGTTGACGTGTAGTCGGGGGAACGGACCGTTTGGTCTGGGATGCCGAGTCAAACCCTCCAAGGTCGCGGTGACTGTAGAGGCTGGAGCCCTGAGTCTGATTACTGTGCTGTCGGCGCCACTGGCAGATCAACACACGATCCGTTTAGCCTTTTTTTCCCCACCGAAGTCATCTGTTATGACGTTCTGGGTTAGTTATGTTTTTATAAAAGGTTCTTTTCTCCGCTCCCTGGAGAACATCCGTCACACTGACGGGTTGTTTGACTCCACTGCATCGTTGGCTTTCCCTCCGCTTTGACGCGCTCTTCATCTTCATTTTTCCAAGCCCTCGTTCAATTCCTACCTGCAGCTTATTATTTTATTGTACTGATCTGTACAACAGAGAGTCTTACATTTTAACCGTGTGGGAAGCAACATGAAGTACACTTCACCTCATGGATCCAGGTCTTGGTGAAAACCAACGTGCGTGCATTCTATCTTGAGTCACGGCCAAAACCTTTCTGTACATAATTTATGTGTCATTATTCTTGTGTAAGTGCGTCATTGGCTTTCCACTGGGTGCCAGATGCCCCCGTGGCACTGATGCCCTGCTCTCACTGCGTTTGTGGAAGGAGGTCATGGAGTTTGTGTGTGGCCTGTAATGGTTCCCAAATGCTTTCGTCGGCAGAAGACCAATACTCCAGCTTTTTGTTTATTTCATGAGTATGAAACTCAGTGCGAGTAGAATGTACAGAATTGTGAAGTACAATACCATTTCATTTACACATTTTTCTTGGTATACCTGCAAAACATTCCTAGTTGAGTTTTGCTCCAGTATATTTGGTCCTGTTTCCTTCTGGCGTTCAGTTCATCCGCGGCTGCCTTTTGGCAAGTGTGCACTTCGTTCCTAAATCTAAACCCATTAGGGCCCCAAACAGCATTTCCTGCCGTGACATCATCCGACGGACCCTTTGCATCGGCCAAATCGCACGCGTAACTCTATGCGGTACCTTTGCTCCTCGGACTTACTTATCAGTGTGTCCTCGATCTCGTTTCCTGTTGGCAGTTGGTTGGACTGGGTGGGCTCCACAGGTAGGCTGAAGATCTGATTGGTCTTATTCATCCTAGTCAGCATCACCTTGGCGATGGGTGGCAGGTGCTTCAGGCGCGGGTAGTAAAAGGAGCTGGCAGGGTGGTTGGGGAAGGAGGAAGTGATCTATGGAGGGGAATAAATTGGTCGGATTAGGGATCTCCGGCTCTGGGCCGATGGATGTCGCGGGTCTCGTCTCCGGCAGACCCACCTGTGTGATTTTGTCCTGTGGGATGGTCTGGAAGTTCGGAGAAGAGAAGGTGAAGCCGCTGTCGGTTCCTGCGTCGTACGGGAAAAGCTCCAGCGTCACGTTGTCTTTCCAGCGGTCGACGTCGCACAGGTCGACGCTCTCTACGCCCACGAACCAGTCCGGGCTCGGAACCAGACGCACCATGAAGGACAGCTGCAGCGGGAGAGGTGGAGCGTGGGGGTGGAGACGCGAGAGAGCGAGAGGCATAGGGGGGGAAGTCAACCTCATGACCGGAGTTATTGAATGTTTATTATGTTTATTGAATGTTTCTAAATCAATGCGGCAGATCCGCCGATATTTGCGTTTCAATATCGTGCATTTGTCTCTCTTGTCAAAACTCCCCAGCTACATTACCCACAATGCAACGGCAGTGTGGACCAAGATTTGGATTTGCAATGCTAGTTGCGGCCAATGTGAATTTACACTGTTAGCATAAAAATAATGAATGGATCGAGATTCTGACTCGTGACATCGCTTGAGACAATTAATGTGCAAAATACCGAAACGGCTTTTCACACATGATTGTGTATAATTGTCTTTTTTCCTTTACATTGCACACATTTGATAAGTATATTAAGCGTCTTTCACTGTGTTCTGGCGTGTGTCACCATGAGTAGATTCACAGTCCTATAACTCACCCACCTCCCCGCACCTGCAGTTATTTAAGCACCAGAGAACGGATTCTGTTTCCAACTGGCCTTTTTCCATGTCCCTCACGTGGACGCCCCGCCCTCGCACACTCACTCTGTCCGCTCTCCTTTCCAAGCCTAACATTGTGGTCAGACGCGTCCCCGATTAAATAACGTAGCCCGAGGCTCATCAGTGGGAAGATTAACAGCCAAATCCTGCAGAGTTTGACATCATTTGTAGAGACATAAATGAAGCTTGCTACATTTCGGAAGCTCTTTAGGGTGCAGCAGATTTACTTCCACCACTAGTGGGACGTCCTAATACCTAACTTGTTTGTTTTGAAGCGCTGCGAGATGCGACAATCTCTTAACCACGCGGACCTGCACGAAAGGCCTCTGATGCGCCCGATGGCCCGAGCCGACGGGTTCGGAGACTTACGTAAGAGTGCCTGGCGAAGACCTCAAACTCCGTGTTGGTCTGGCCCGTGCCTCCCCCAACAGCGGGAGCGGAGAGGAGCCCATAAACACTCTGGATGCGTTCGCCGGCCGCCTCCACTTCCTCCACCGTCGTCCAGGCCTCGCCCTTCTCTGCAAACTCCCTCACTCCGTTGCTGGCGAAACCATCGCGCTGCCACATGTGGTAATCGGAGCTGTGGGTCACACCTAAAAGCAGGGAGACGATGTCAGCTGTTGCTCCAGGTATTAGTCCGCATCATTTTTTTAGATGCGTAGTGGTATTTATTGTGAATATATATTTATCAGTGTTCTACTTTTCATACGTTTTAAAAAAACTTTGATTGAGCAGATTCTTCAGTATTTACTACATATTACGTCCGCTATCTGTTCCTTCCGATTGGCATTCTGTTCCACGTCTGCTGCCAATGGCCGAGGAGAACCAGCTAGCTGTGCTCTTACCGATGAGGGTGGACCACTGAGCAGGGGGACGGTAGAACGGATACTGTTTCGGGAACGCCGCCTGGGTCCACTTGCCAGAAAACGTGAGCTTGTACCGGGCCGTTTCTGAGGCCGCGCACGTGGGCCCGTCGGTGGGAACGGGCGTGGAGCGAACGCACGGGCCGAGAGTCAGCGTCATGACCACCAGGCGGTACAGCGCCTCAGAGGCGGAGGGGACGTTCACTGCGGTGTCCATGGTGATTTGGGGGAGGATGAAGAGGCTGAAGGATGCGAGGGACAAGACAAAGAGAAGAAAAGGTAGTAAATTAAAACGCCTTTCAATGCTTTCTGCTCCTCCGTCTCATTCAGGTTCTACCAGCTGCCCATTTAAACATCTTTAATCAAAGGACATTATGTAGAAGAGGATTTCTTCAATATTTTTGTGCACAAAAAAAAATACTCAGAGGCTTTGCATTCTGTTAGCGTTTGCCTGGTTCCTTTTTGCCGTGGATTCTCACACTGGGATCTGGAGCGTGACGGACGGGCGGACGGAGGGAGCTGGTGAAAGGCCGTCTGGCTGCAGCATCGGTTTGGAGTTTAACAAGTGGGCCGTGTGAGTCAGAGGGAAAGTTTTTCCACTGTTTAGACTTGTAAACGCAGTTAAGTGGTTTAGGACTGGCAAGAAGAGGGAGGGAGGTCTTGCATCAGTTAGAATGCGAGTAGGGAAAGTTTGGCGTTGCCATAGTTACAGTCTGTCAGGCTCTCGAGGAATTTCCTTAACTTCATGTGGCTCGTCATATGTGCTTAGCTCATCTTTTCTCTGACTAGCCAGAGTGTCACGCTTCTCTCTCAACAGTGATTAAATAGTCTCTTCATTCTCAATGAAGCACTTCACAGGAGCACATCTTCTACTGCATCCATCCAGGGACAGCATGCAAACGCAGTTTGTTTAACCACTGCAAGATTTCCTCTTCACCCGATCATTTTTAATCTAACACTCTTCAATCATGTATGAAGCATCCACACATCAATGTCCATTGGCTTTACTTACTTACTAAATAGTGTATTGCTTAAGTATTTGATTGTGTACGATTCCCTGCGCTACAGAGCTATTTGCGAGCAGTTATTCATGCATTATTGAAACACAGCTGAGATTTCCATGTGAGGATCTGTGTGGCGACGGGATGGAGACGTGCTGCAGAAACTACTCACTGACGGTGCTCAGGGCTCCAGATGGACGGAGGGCTGCGGCGGATGAGCGGAGGCCTGGAGGCGAGGAGAAGGGGAGAGGAGAGGAGAGCGGGTATGGCTGTCGAGAGGAGCGACTGCGAGCCTCCAAATCCTCTTTTGCCTATTTATGTCTTCCAGGAGGTTCTCCCTTTTCTTCCCCCTCCTCCCCCGTCTGGCTCCCCTCCCCTCTCTGCTTTTCAGTGCTTGGTGGCTGCTCGTCGGTGACTCTGTGCCTGCCCCCTTCTTGCCCTTTGACTTCGGTTCTGCCTCCTCCTCACTCCTCTGGTCTCCGTGAGCGGCCCATTAAGCGTCTAATGTGTTCAGCAGTTCTCAGCTAGGTGGATGAGCGTTGTTTAGCAGAGAGACTCTGCAGGTCTGCACACCTACAGGTATGACAGACGGGGCTCGTCTTTAGAACTATCTCAGCTTCTCACGTCTTTGAGTTGCTGCAGAGCTGCTGGATCTGATCCCAGTTCTGCTCTTTCGCTCACGTTGTTGTGTGTATGGCCCGTGTCGCAGTCCATTTGAAAGCCCCTTTGATGAGATTTAAGGGCGAGTCGAGGCTTCATCCGACAATAAGAAATTGTCTTTTCCAACGGCGGTTCAATCCCCGGCTCCGCTGGTCCACGTCGGTTTGTCTGGGAAATACCATTGACCCCACATGTCTGTATGAATGTGATGGGCAGGTGGCACCTTGCATGGTAGCCCGTGACATCGGTGTATGAATGGGTGAATGACGTGGTGTTAAAACGTTTACCATTTAATGCAATGAGCTGTCATTTTATTATTCAACTGATTTGCAATTCATTTATTTATCTATGAACTGTCCAAAATAAACATACTTTTTACAGTCTCCCCCAGCCTGAAGCGCCGTGCTAACTTTCTAATTTTGTCCGACTGACCGTGTGAAATGCTTTTCCATTTATAATTATATGAGAACAGACAAAAAAAGACACTTTCTCTTGATTAAAATCAATTGACTAATGGCAGGAGTAAACGTGTTTGAGATCTGGGTGGATCCCTCAATGAGCATTATTATTATTATTATTAATTTATTATTCTTTCCTCTCGTTGCATTACAAAGGCAGTATGACATTAAAGCTTTTGAAACCTCACTTCCATTTTCAAAGTGATACTCATACTAATGCAACTACTTCTTACACCATTAAATAAACTCACAAAAGCACCACTACTACAAACACGGAGTGTTTCTGGTCCCACTTTGCGTTGACTGTGCCGGGCGCACATGAACAGGCGGCGTCTCCGGGCTTTACAGCGTGTGATGTGTGACCAACACACCTACAGGCCGCCGCCGTGACAGCTGCTGTTTCCTTCCAGATCCAGTGTTGTGTGTCTTTGATCTTCAGCCGGTTTAAACCTAGTTTATGCGTTTTCAGAGAGACACGCAGACGCAAGTTGTGTTGTAAATAATAAATATGCAATTGTCATCAAATGGCAGTTATAAGACTATTCGGCAGTAGTCTACAGGTTCAGTGTTTTCTTAGATTTTTTTCGAACTAAAACAAACGGAAAACATGATTCAGACTCATTGAATTGTACACAATTGTAATTGTAGTATTTCTTTGTAGTTTCTCGTGTTAAGCAACATGTTCAGCAATGTCAAACAGCTTGACCATTTTGCAGAACGCTGCCTTTGCATCTGATTCACAGCCTCCACAGTTGGTTCTGTTATTGACCTGAATAATCCATGCTTCTGTAAAAACAAAGAACAAAACATTTAAACCTTGAGCCAACTGTCTCAACTAATTGTATTTTACCCAAATAGAGGATTGGCTGTTAAACCAAAAGATGGCAGTAACTAATGAGAGAGTGGAGACATCTCTCACAGACTGCAGTCCGTCTAACGTTAGCTAGGATAGCCAGCTAACTTAGCTAACGTTCGCTAGTTAGCAAGCCTTTGTAGTTAGTTAAGTGACGTTGGCTAATAAGCGCTAGCTAACGTTAGCTAACCAAATCATTAAAAGTTATGAATACTTGTATCACTCACCGTAGGCGATGGTACGTTGCTCGGTCGCCCGGTGACGAAATGACACAAACTTTTTATTGTTTTCGGACCAGGTCGTTACGGCTCCAATGTTTTTGACAAGTTAACTGAATTATCATTATTATTAGAGGAAATTATGGGGGCATTTTGCCCATCTCCTTGTGATATCAGGGGAAAAATTATATTTCTTGAGGGCAATTTTACATTTTGCCGTCAGAGGTCTGGTGCGTGAGCCACTGAGCAGACAACATGCCACATAGGGAATTGCATACACAATACAGCCAGCTTTCTGAATGGGCCCACATCTAATGATCTCCATACGGTCTCAAAACACAGACACACAAACACACACAAACACACACACACACACAAAGCGGTTTCCCTCAGTCAACCTCTCAATTTCCAGGATTTAGGTCCAGACTCCAGTCTGCTTTCAGTCAGGGGCGTTTAAGTCACACCGCATTTAACCGCCACCGCCCTCGCAAACAATGAGAAGAGCGAAGCAGCTTCAACCCCAAAACGCTCCAGGTGTGAGGCCCGACCGAGCAGTGATCGGTTGTCGTGCGGAGATGAATCATCATTTCATTTCAACGCGAGTTGTGTAGACCTAACAATCCCCGCTGAAGATCCCAAAGCTCCCGCGGACGCTCCGCCAACGATCATTTCACTCTTGACTGTTTGCGCTGATCTTTGACAATATGACAATGTTATTTAATTACAGTTCACTGAAAGTTTACTCAACGTCAGCCTACTTTGCTTTTTATTTTCAACATATGACTGTAAAGGCAGGTCTTGATTTGAAAACATTTGTGATGACAGCGTGTTGGTATAGGAAAATGACCAGTGGTGTGCTGTTTGGAAGGAAGCTGTAAAACACAGAAGGGGAAGAGAATAAATATATATATATATATATATATATTATAGATAGGAAACACCGAGCGGCCCAAAGAGGCCAGTCTGGCACGTGTGTCTGCAGTGGGAGTTGAGGATGTGGGTACGTATTGTGGTGAGGAGCTGGGCGTACCGATGGCATCCTAAATAAATGTATTTAAGTGGTAATACGATGATGTGTTTGTGTATAGAGTAAATCTCCAAAGAAAGGGTCCGTAACTATGACTCCACATCTGGCTGTCGAACTGGCTCCACACTGGCGGCGTTCTGGGACCTTCTTAAATGGTACATCAAGGTTGCATCTCATTGATGGAATTAGACAATTATGGACATAGATGTATTTGAATACACTATAAGATTCAATCCTTTTTATATGCAGCCACAAACTATCAGCCTCAAGAAATGTTATCCGACAAACTGAACTGAAGTCATTGAACTTTGTAAGAAACTGGGAGTTCTGGTGACGGCTGGTGAATGTCGCCATGTGTTGACCCGATGGACCAGAAAGCCTGTAAACAAAACAACGGGCCTCCCTGTTGTTGCGGATAATAGCCAGCGTGGCTATGGCGACGGGGTGTGAGCTCATTGTTTTGAGTCTTTGGCTTCGTGTAAACAACGGTTTTGCACCGCTGATTACAGCAGATCTGGAAAAGTTGATTAAGACACACATGGACACAAAAAGAGTTATGTGCATCAAACAAACACACACAAACACGCATCCACTCAGCTAAGAGGCAGACTAGTGCTCTGCTTCGTGGTTTTACAATCTCACTATACCACTTGTTAGCATCCGCCACGTGCAAGCTGCGCACCTCACAAGTGTTTTATATGGAGGAACAAAAGCAACCAAAAAGCCATTAGGACAACGTGGTGACTGTTAGACCAAGAGCCCCTTGGTAGCAAAGCTGCTACCTCCTTTCAGTGTTTTATGTAGAGTTAGTCACTTTCTCCTCGTCTCTCATACCAACACGCTCAAACACACACACACACACACACACTCCCCACACAGTGTTTCCTTGGGGTCTTGTTAGAGCAATAATCACCACTGCTTTCCGGGGAATAATTTCTTCCACTGTGTGGGAGCAATCTGTGTGCATCTGCATTCATTTGCACATTTTTCTGGGTAGGTCGTGTGTGTGTGTGGATCTTGTAGACATCCATGCAGCTTGGCTGCAGCTTTACTCGTGTTTATGCTAGTCTGGCTGCCTCGCCATGTTCCCAGGGTCAACTGGAAGTGGTTCAGGTAGAGCTGTGTGGTTTTTTTTTTTTTTTCGTGGTTATAACCATGAAGAAACGTGCGCTTAAACAATTCATTTTTAAACGTATTTGTTGTAGATGAAACGGCATCAAAGCCGCTCCTACAGAGCTTGACGAACGGGACGCGGGTCAGCGCTTCTGGACGGGGGGTTGCAGACACAGTGGGTCCAGTTGACCGTTGCCACGGCAGCAGGGCCCCGTCCCACTGAGGCCCCGGTGTTGGTTGCGCAGGAATTCAATCGCACAAACTCTGTGACCTGCCGTCTGACTCCACAGACGCAGACGGCTGGTCGAATGTTTGTGTCATCAATCATCACAAACCACCGTTGTCAGACGGGCCAATGTGAGATGATCGAGTCCAAAGCGGTTTGTATCTGAGAGTTATGCATGAACAGCTCTGGTCCGGGGTATTAGGCGACCACAGAGTATTAAAACACAGCGCACTTAAACTCAACTTTAGGGAAACGAGGTCTGCTGACGCCGCCCTTCTCGCTGCCTGTCAGTCGCTGTTGTGTCTTTCGCCCGGGTTGGTCGGGCAGTCGGCACCTGGATTGCATTGTTCAGTTGTGGAAGAAAAAGCTCTCAAAAGCTGCACAAAGCGCATTTGCACATGGGGAAGTGGAGAGGGGTCATGTGAGGGGGAGAGGCCTCCTGGTGGCGGCTGAGCCGTCACGTTTAGTCGTGAGTGGTCATAACCTCAGACTGCACTCTGGGAAAAGGACGACTGGAGCCGAGGCCCATTTTTCTTTTATCTTTTAAGACGTTTTGGCTGTTTCTTCTCTGAGCTGCGTCTGCCTGTACAGCATGTTGAACCGGTGCGGGTCCTGATTCATCGAATCCACCACGCGGCTTTGGATTTTTCGGTCACGTTTAAGGTCCTAATGTTGGTATCCATCCGCTGCGTTGTGTCGTCGCATACCAAAAACGTACCGCCGACGCAGCTTTTCCTCTTAATAGTCTGAATCAGAAGCACATTATTGATTAGGGTTTTTGGCAATATAAGTGCATTGAAGTTGATAAATGTGCTGAGCGGCAACATGGTTTAAATGCACACATGTATGAGGTTTAACGCGCTGATGGACATTTGAGCTCAGATTCCCAGAGTGAATCACAAGTCATCAATTGGTTTGAATGAGGCATTATTACCTGTGAGAAGGAAGGCTTGATATTTAAAGTGCCAGCAGGCTGAACCTTGAGGAGGAAGACCATAAATGAATAAGACAGAAAAGCTTATCATTAGAATCCTGGATTTATATATTTGAATTGTTTTTATTTATTTTTTCTTATCCTTGTGACGTGCTGAACGTGTTACGGGAGCCTTATTTTTATTGCAGTTCCTTCAGTTTTATGTTTTCATATTCTTGGGTCT